CCAATTTGAAATTTGGACCGATGATAAAAATCTGGAGTATTTTATGACTTGAACCAAAGACAAGCCCGCTATGTGGTGTACTTGTCTAGGTTTAATTATAAATTAATTCATAAGCCTGGTGCTTCTATAAGGAAAGCAAACACTTTATCTAGAAGAAAGGATCATGCCAATGGCATTGAAGATGACAACAAAGGTGTCACCCTGATAGATCAATCCAGGGTTGCCAATATTTGAATCGGGCAAGACTCCGATCTTCTAGAAGTCTGCAAGAGAGACATCTCCTCAGAAGAGAAGGCACACCTTGATGGCAATTCACATTATTTATGGAAAAATGGGCTCTTCCATTATAAAGACAAAATTTATGTGCCTGAGTCAGCAAGGATCAAGGCAATAGATAGACATCACAACACTCCAGTGGCTGGGCACCCTGGGTGGCAACAAACTATGCAGTTGATCTCCAGAAATTACATGTGGCCTGGCATGGTCAAAGACTTACAGGAATACGTGAAATCCTGTCTGAGATGTGCCATGACAAAGAACTCACATCAACCGCCAGCCGGTAAACTCATGCTGAATTTGGTACCAGCTGGTCCCTGGCAGGATATATCGGTTGACTTTACGACAGATCTACCCAAATCAAATGGGTATGATTCAGTAATAGTGGTAGTAGATCGCTTCTCCAAAGAAGTAGTATTCATTCCCACCAACAAAACAATTACAGCCACTGGTACAGCAGACTTATTGAAAAATTTTGTATGGTCCACCCATGGGTTACTGGAAACAGTTATCTCTAATAGGGGACCCCAATTTGCTAGCAAATTTGCAAAACAATCTTTGTTGCATGCTGGGCATCAAACCTACATTATCAATGGTGCTCCATCCACAGACTGATGGACAAATGGAGAGGCTCAATCAAGAATTGAAGCAATACCTCCGTATATTTATTAATGACAAGCAGACAGATTGGGCCAAGTGGCTAAAAATAGCCCAGTTCTTGTACAATATCAAACAGTCTTTAGCTACAGGGAAAGCACCATTCGAGGTTACAAGATTGTACCTCCCCAGAATGGGTGTAGAGCCTGGTAAAAGCAAGAACAAGGCTGCAGGGAACATGGCAAAAGACATGAAGTCTGTATTAGACAAAACGCGCAAGGCACTATTCAAAACTGCAGAGCAGATGGAAGATAGGGCAGAGCGTAGACACTCTAAAGCCCCTGATCACAAGGTCGGCAACCTGGTCTGGTTAGATACTGACCACTTGAAACTAAATGGTCAGCAGTCTAGAAAACTGACCGAAAAGTGGATTGGCTCTTACTAGATTAAGGAAGTCAAACCTAACACAGTGGAGCTGGAACTCCCAAAATGAATGAGGGTAGTACCCACGGTCAACATTAGCCGTGTGAAACCCTACAAAAGGCTGCTTGCGGGACAGCGTGTAGTCCGGCCCGGACAGGTGGTAGTCGCCCAGGAAGGTGAAGAAGAACATGAAGTCAAACGGGTAGTGGATACACGCTTGAAGCGTGGAAAATTAGAGTTCCTAGTCCTATGGAAGGGCTATGGAGGCAAGGACAGAATGTGGGAACCAGAAGCCCATCTGGACAATTCCTGCGATTCTGTTCAAGAATTTTATGCTAAGAATCCCTCGGCTCCTAGGAAGCTTAGAGGCATGGATTCAACATTTTTTAATTCCCTTTTTCAACCTATGCCCAAAATTTTCACTACTACCTCTGATATTTGGTCTCGCCTGGAAGTCAAGCCTTAGAAGGGGGGTAGTGTTACAATAACACAATTTTCAGACTTTTAAATTTCATTCTCCTCTTCAACTTTTTTTTGTAGTTTTCACATCCTGTGCCATGCAGCACTTTCCATTATTATTCAAACTCCACTTCTCACGCTGCACTGCCTTTTCTATTTTTAGATACAAGTTTCCCACGCAATGGAGCTGGTCACATGGGCTGTGCCCCATGATATCATCAGCCACTACCTCCATCAACTGTACAGTACACATGTACAAACAAAGCTGTAGTAGTTTATATACCCCAATAGATCAAGGAGACTCCTCAGCGAGTCCTCTTGTTGTTTACCCACAACTAATTTGGTCCTATCCTAAGGGTAACCACTCCTTTTACTACCTTTATAGCTTTGTCTGAGTTGTGCGCCAGAGTAACAAACTCTAGGTCGTTACAACACCTTCGTTTTTCTCTGTGTACAACTGAAAATCACTGCAAATGTCCCAGGAGTGTCAGAAATCATTGTAGTATTTGTGTTGGTCAGGTATTTACGACCAACACTAATGGACAATGTCGAAGGGCATCTGCTGTTGCACCCAGTACAATCTACAGTTATATTCCCATGTCCATATATAAACATGACATTTTCTTGTCTCTGGGACAGAAAAGCCTGCCAGTTTGTCTTTTCTCATGAGATGTTGCTGACAGCTATAGCTTGATTTGCAAGCTCGTAAAACAGCATTCCCTTCATCCCTTCTGGAGAAAAAATCTATCCAATGTTCTCCAGGTCTATGATCGCTTCTTTTCTCTAGTTGATGTAAAAGTGGTCCAGGTGCAGATCCAACACATGCATACTCGTCCTCAAATATCATCCTTGTCTCCATTTCCAGCTGTTCCTCCATGAGCATATCCTGTTCCATCTGCTTCTTGTTTTTTTTTGCGTCTGGTACTTGGGACTGTGAGGGGAAATACTTTTTGAAGCAGGGCATTGGTAAATGAGCATGGAACTTTCCAAAGACCCCACAAAAGAGCCATACAGGAGCACCCGCATTGATTATAACTGATATTACATTGGTCCACAAACAGGGGTCACAAACACTGATGAACATTCCAGTGCACTTGACAGACTTGGAGAAATTGCCTATAACAGAAGCCCATAGTCCTTTAACCCACTCTGGATAAACTCCACAAGGTTCCTGTAGCATACGAGTTCATGGAGGGAATGGATCTTGCAAATTGCAACCTTTGCTCATTATAGCTAAAACAAATGAGCACAAGCTAAACAAAGGCAGGAAAGCAAAGCAAGATTTCAGGATAGCTCTGCATGTATCCTCCTCTATCTTGCGTTCTCAAAGATAGCCGAACATATGGGGGTAAGGGAAGGCCTTGGCCTTGAGAGGCCATAAAATGGGCCACTTGCAGTCAAGAGAACAAATGACATAGACTATTCCATCCTCCAGTCTTAACCACAACATGAGTAAGTCCTCTTTGAGGTAGTACTGGTCATTTAAATATTGCAAAGGGATTTGGGCAGGAAGGGAGAGTTGACTGAGCAATGGCCCCTTAAAACCAACTTCAAGTGGTGTGAATGCAATGTGGAGGTAAATATCAGATACTAGCACCTATTTTACACTTTACTTTTACTGTACTTTTACTTTCATTTTCTAAGTCATGTGGCTGATCACTTGACCATTTACTTTACTTTACATTTCGGACTTTTCATAGTCACATGCTAAACATCGGACTTTGAACTTTATTTACCAACTGTATAGTACCTCATGTATTGTGGTATAATATACTAGAGCAATACATGGGGAAGGACTCAGCGAATCCTCTCTTAGTGTCTACCAACGTTAGTGAAGATAACCTCCCTCCTTTGATAGGTTGTACACTTCCTATTCCTCCATTGAGTTGTTTGTGTTGTGCTCCAGTGCCCCAAAGATTGTATCTCGTTGGTGTTGTCACAAATATCTGAAGTAGGTGATATTTAAATGCCTTGCTGCTCATCCAAATGCACAGTGAATGCCAGGTGGTTAGTTTGTCCTGGAATCTGCTTTAGATATTAGTATCATTGAATAGAAGAAATGATTAAAAAAATTAAAACTTACGTGATTCATGCTGGAAATTGATAATCTTTGGGTAGCAGATTTGAGTGAGATGGTGTCTGTAGATCAGGATGAACATTGGTCATCATTTTAACACATAATATTTCTCCTGGGGATGTCTTAAGTGGCCCTTGAGAACATATACAGTGTATGCACAGTGTAAATGCAAAATTAGGGTGTTGATGGTGACCTAGGTAAATCAGAGTGTTTGGAAGTGGGAAAAGCATTGGAGTGTTGGGAGGGGATGATTGATTCATTGGTAAACGGGAATTTTCCTGGCAATATCTAAAAGAGAGCATATGAATTTATGCACAATATAAATGCTAGGCAATCAGTGGTGGTCGTGATGGTTAGGAAGAATAGTAGAAAGATATTAACATCAATGCAAAGATCACATGATACATACAAGTACCACACTGGCAATTCCTGAAATCTCAACTTGCTAACTTACCACCACCACCACCCACTATTATGGTCAGCAACTGCAATTGGGGTATTTTTACACCTTAATCATACGCTACACATTGCATGCAATGACCTTAAAGGGCAAGACATGAACCTATGTATGAAAAGACAACACCATTGCATATCAATTTTCCAGGAGTCTATAACAACTTCCCCACAACCCCTAACTAGCATCTCTCTATTGTCACCTCCGCCAACAGCAATTGGGGTGTTTCACATCCCAATCATACACTACATACCACAGGCAACAACTTTCCTTTTGCAACACTGGTAACACCCAACTCACCACCACCACCAATTGTGATTGGGGTGTTTCACAGCCCAATTGTGTGCTACATACCACAGGTGACAACCTTGGTTCTGCAAACTCTACCTTGACTCACCATATTAATACCATGATAATCACCACTGGCAAGTGGGATGTAAAACACCCCAATTGTACACTGCAATACATTGCATAATTATTTAATTGGGACAGGATATTTACAGTACTAGTACACCTTATATACAGCTAACTCCTTGCCCACTTTGAACCACCTGAATTGCTCTTTAAAAACATTCAGAGTTCTCTCGCAATAGCTGGAGCTCTGGCTTTCATACCAGTCATTCTTGTATAAGATCTGGGGAAGCTTGCAGACCAGATTTTCCTTGGAAAGGGATTTGTATTGCTACATGTTTGCCTGGCAGGTTTAGATCCTTGTTATGAGTATAAGTTGTCATCCTGGAGTTGAGTCTTATTAATAATACCGAGTTCCTTCTCAACATTTTTTCTCCAAAACATTGCCTTCACTCTGTACACTTTTTGCACTATTCCATCTTCATCTCTATCCACATTACTCTCCTCCAAACTCCTTCTATCTTCCCCTAAATATTTGACTAGGTCCTGCAGCCATTCCCAAACAGCAATGTCTGCTGCACTGTGTTGTTCCTTTATCTGGATTACCACCTTTAAAGTTTTTTTCTATGTTTATATTTCTGCATATAGATTTAATAAAAACATTGCAAGCAATTACATTGCTTTTTCTCTCCCTCTGTCTTGCCCACATTAACCTGTCCTCTTACCTGGCTACTAATCTGTTTTCTACGTTGTCCTACATTTCTAGTTCATATTTGGCAGTGATCTGCCCACATAGTATAGTAATAACCTTCCATCTTAGATGGGGCATTATTACCTGATAATATTACTATGTAGATGGGGCCAGTGGAGTCCAGCGGAGTGTGCCAGCCAGGCCATGTTAAAGGTGATATTATTGTGCCCATCATCAATGACCCGGCTGGGTGAGAGTCTGCTTGTTAAAGATGACCCGGCTGGGTCACAGGATGATGAGTGGCAAAGAGTGCAATAGCTGAGATACAGTGTGGTCTTACCTCCACTCTTGATAGATATCTGAGCTATTATTAAATCTTGATAACTCTGCCCTCTAAGGTCCTGATGGATTTGAGGCATCCATGAGACATTTTTGGGCATATATTTACATATAACAATACTATTATCTACTTGGATATTGGTATACCCAGGTCAAAGACATTTGTCTCTGTGCTTTCTTTTGGTTTTTCTGTCACAAATAGAGCACCAACACTAAAAGCAAGCACTCCTTTTCCACTATATCCTGGTTTCAATATTCAGGCACTGGTGGCATTGGATTTCCAGCTTTTGATGATGACTTGTGTACACTAGGGACCCCTATGTCAAAGACTGAGGGCCCGGGCATCCCTAACTTTGTGCTCCCGGGGTTATTACGATTAGGCCTCTTGCATGGCACCCCAATGTCAAAAATGTGTTTCTCAGGGTTGTTCTTAGGTCTCCTGGAGGGCACCCCAATATCAAAGATGTTTTTCCCGTTACGATTAGGTCTCTTGCATGGCACCCCAATATCAAAGATATTGTTTGTAAGAGTGGGTGCTGGGGAGAGATCTGAGGAAGGCCCCGGGGAGGGTACAGAGGAAGGACCCAGGGAGCATTCAGAGGAATCCAGGGAGCATTCAGATGAGTCAGATCCTCCAGGGATGGCAAATCGTCTGATAAGCCAGTTGACTCACTTGAAATTGCTGATGAAATGTATATCAGACCTTTTAAGTACAAATCAATGTATGAACCTACAATTCATGGTTGTTGGGTTATATATAGTGGGTAACATGGGTAAATCAAAAGAAAAAGTGTTTCAAGATGGTAATGGAGTAATATTTGAGACAATGGGACATACCTGAGGATGGTTCCCGGGCACTGGATTTGTACTGGGGAGTTGGTATTTGCAACATTTCTGGCATTTGATAAATACCAAGTCCAGCTTTCATCACATGCATTTTTCTCAAAATTCCCATGGGCACAATTTGTGACACCTGATCCATGTATATCGTGTCTGAACCCTTTAACATCTCAGTCACTCAGACATAACACTCTACACCACACTTTCAACACCTCCCCAACCAAAAACACCATCCCAATGTTTTTTTCCACCCAAGAAAAGATCTACACAGCCAACAAGCACATTAAGAAGGCCATTATGTACTGGCCCATAGTTCCTGTCCAACGCAGGGGTGTAGAGGATCTGCAGAGGAAGAGCATGGAGGAGCGGTGCAAACAGTGCAGGCTGGACAATTCTGCCTGCACCATAAGCAGAAGTAAGCAGACAAAGAAGTGGAGGACGTCCTGTGGCAAGTGCAGCCAGGAGAAGTACAAGTGCGGGTGGGACAATGATGCAAGCCTGGGGAGCAAGTCCTGGAAGCCAGTAGCCTCAGAGCCAGAAATGCCAAGGGCTCTGGTTGCCACTCCCAACCATCCCATCAAGATTGGGCCGCCCCGGGGAGCACCCAAGCTGGTCTACCAGCCCCATGGAACAACCAGGACCAGATTCACAATCAGGGTCCCCCCACCTTCACGAGCAGAAATCCCAGCTCCTGCTCACCACACTCCCCTACCTGCTGCATGCCATTCACCCCCTCTTCCCCCTTCAAGGAGGCCTCCCCGGGTGTCCCATAGAGAACCCAGGGAGATGGATGCCAATGCAATCCATCCCGGCCCCGAGATTGCCAGGATGAAAGAGGCCATCCCCTCTCCTGCCAGGGAGGTTTTGGATGCCGTGGCAAGGCTGCCATTGCCATCCCCCAGCCCCCTTCCCATTTGTCCCCGGGAGGCTGTTGATGCCCCCCCCCCAGACATCACACTCCCTCGGTCCAATACTCCCTTTGAATTCCCATCCTCATCCTTCCCTCCCACCCCGATCTCTCCCCACAGCACTCCCAACCCATCCAGGCAGGATAAAATGCCCTTGAACATTCCTGAAACCCCTCATCCATCCCCCGGGCCTCCCTCACTGGCCTTTTGAGGCCCAACAAGGGGATTCACCTCAGCCACCGAGGCCTCATACACCCCCGGGAGGTGAGGTCCCTATTGCTATCACTCCTCAAAGTGATGGCTGGGACCTCATTGACTTCAGCTTTACATCCCCGGTTCCCAGCCACATACAATGATTGTTCCCGGCACAGCAGTGGAGCCTGCCTCCTTCCTTGGAAGAAAGGGTAGCAAGGATGGAACAAAGGCAGGAGATCATTGGGGATCTCTATGAGAGGATTAGCCAGCTGGAGGATGAGGTAGCAAGGTTGAAAGCAAAGGAGAGGGAGTACAATTAGACAAAATCATAGTTCAATGGCCTTGTAATATAAATTTTATTTTTTCTTTCTTTTTTTCAACTAGATTTTATTTGCATATACTTAGTTTTTCCTCACTCACCACTCAGTGTACATTTAATTACTTTATCCATATAAATTTGAGCCACCCACACTACAATCTTAGTGTGATAATGTGTGATAAGAAACAAGTCTGAGAACTCTACCCCGGGCCCCATCAACATGATCCGGGACCTGTCTAACTTCAACACATCAATAAACTATCTGTAAGTGGTGCTTGGCAATATGGAAATGTTGCCCGGGAACGGTCTATAGCCAAGTGATCTATGATCTGTTGAGCCGGGCTGTAAGATCATCTAACCCGAGACAACTACAACACTCACATCCCCAGGTACACATTTTAAACCCAGGGATATTATGTACATTTATTACATTACTGTACAAGAGGTGTACCTACTATTCAACACCTCCTGGGTTTCTTTACCTTTAGCGTCTGATCTACCTTGGTGTCCTTGGCTTGTTGAAGCCACTTTACTGGACTATTACCTGACCTTGTCCTGTGTGCAATGTTCCCAGGTTCCCCATCCATCCCCTCATACCCATGTTTGGTGGGACTCTGCATTGCCTTTCTCACCATCCTGGGTAGAGGCCTTGCCTTGTCAGGGAAGGCGGATTCCAAGCTGTTTTGTATTGCAGTGGTCATGTCCCTGCACAATGGGAGGATAGTTTCACCCACTATGGCAAACTCAATATATGACCATGTCAGGTTGTCGTTCTCATCAGCAAATTGGATTGTATGAAAGTCCCAGCGCAGCATTTCTACTGCCAAACATATCAGGGCCATAGCTGTATAGTCCCTGATACCCATGTGGCTGTCCCAGGACCCTGGGTGATGTAGATAAGGCTGCACACGGAGCCACCTCAACAGGTTTTGAGTTCTATTGCCTTCATGATTCTCCAATAAAATCATGCTGTGGATGTAGCCCCATGAGGCCCATGACAGCCAGTAGTCCAAGTAATCCTCTGGCTGGCCATTACTCTGGGAGCCGGGCCCGGGCTTGTTTTTTGGTAGTTGGTACACTGCATCCACCAACTTCAGATATCCTCCTCAGTACATAAGCCGGCAAGGAACCTCCTCTAAGACTTGTGTGTAATAGAAGCATGCCAGGGACTGTCCTTGTCCACTTCTTCTACACCTACAGATTGCTGCCCTGAGATAGAGGGAGCCAGGACGAGGTTGGGCATCAGTTTGGAGGGCCCGGGCCTGGTTGTTAATTCCTGGAAGGCTACGGTTTGTTGCCTTGCAGCTGGTTTGGAGGGCCCAGGCTGGCTTCGAACGTTGGCACTGTGTTCATCATTGCTTAGAATTTCATTTCCTCTTGTTCCTTGTTGTGGATTTGATTCTGGGTGAAACCATTCCTACTTTGGGAAAGACTCTCTTCATTGCTGCCTTTGCTGCCTTCTCTTTACCCTTTCCTTTATTGGCTACTGGGTGCAGACTAGATTTGAACCTGAAGGTAACTTTGGCATTTATATTGTTCTTCTGGTTGTACCAATGGTCCAATAGACACCGGGTCTCCTCCTTTGTCATACATGATGGTTCCCAGAACTTGTACCCCTTTGGCAAGTCGATATAGTTGCCTGGGCACTCCGCAAGGCTGGTCCAAGGTACTGAAGCCTTTGCGTTTCCAGTGGAAATCTGGTAATGTGTTGTCAGAAAAGACCTGATGATAGCCTGTAGGTCTGAAAAGGTTGCCAGGGAAGACAGATCCTCATCTACAAGGATGGGATATTCATTGTTGTTGAGTGGAATCTTGATCTTTTCTTTCTGCTTGCTTGGTAGGCTCTCCTTTGGCACAGACCCATCTATATCAGCTATATACAGTTCAATACTCTGGGATGTTTATTAATTAAGCTGGAAACTTACTAAACTGACTTTGTGCATACTTGCCCCAAGCCTCCCATATCTTTACATTTTGCCAGTTGGGTTGTACCTTGCTAAAAAGCTCAAACCCGGCTTCATCATTTTGCTCATGGCTGCAATTAAAGCAATCAGTTTTAGTGACCACACACCCAATTTGAGACATGGGGTCCATAGACTACTTACAAGGACATGCAAATGGTTCTATTTGTATCTCTATGGGCGGTGAGCACAAAACTCAACATTCCCAGATCCCGGATTGCTTGCATCTGGAAGTCCTTCATTACTTTCCTACCCTTGATTTCAGCAGCTCTGGGTATCTTGAGTCACTATTTGTCCCGGATGAGTAAAGGACATGATACTCACTTTTGTCTCACCTCCTCTTATGGCCCATTAATATACCACTCCTCACACTTCTCTTTTAGTTCGGCCAGTGAGTGTGTTGAATTGACTAGAAGCTTCATATAAGCTGTTAATAGATCGTAGACCTGAAGCGTAAGCCTGAGGAACTTGAATGAGAACTTGAACACCGTGAGTGACTCACTTGCCAACTCGGAGTTGTCAGGCTGGCCGTACTGCGTTAACTTGAACCAGTACTGGCAGTACTGGTTCAAGTTGGCACAGCCTGAGTGTTGAATGTATTATTTTTGGCATGCATCACGGTCCCTGGGGTCCGGAATCTCTCTTAACCTGGCCTAAGGCTACTTGTGCACGTGTACCCATGAGTCGCCTTTTATAAGGAGTTTGACTTTGTACTAACAGCAAAAACAATACTGATCTTATTCCTCAAGAAGCAAGTCTAGCACTGTGACCACACCAACAAGACACAGTCTTGGGGCACTGGAGCACAACAACAACAACAACTCAGCGGAGGAAAAGGAAGTGTACAACCTATCAAAGGAGGGAGGTTGTCATACTAATGTTGGTATACACTAGAAGAGGACTCGCTGAGTCCCTCCCCATGTATTGCTCCAGTATATATACTAAAATACATGAGGTACTGTGCAGTTATAAATAAAGTTCAAAGTCCGATATCTAGCATGTGACTGGTCACATGATGAGTCTAGACACTGGTCAGGTCCTGTGTCACATGATCAGTCATGTGATTATGAAAAGTCCCAAAAATGTAAAGCAAAGTCAATGGTCACATGATCAATCATGTGACTTGGAAAATGAAAAGTAAAAGTATAAAAAGTGAAGCATAAGTAGGTGCTGGTACGTCAATTGTAACAGTGATCATTCTTTCAGCCCGTATGCAAACAAGAGTTGCTTTCGTCTGGGAGACCGGTATTGGAATTATAGTGTTCAGAAGTCGCAGGAATCTTTCAGGCAGCTCATTGATATTGTTGGAAACCCAACCTTTTGTTAGAATATACTCTGACATACCAATACTCCATAGGATAATACCTCTGATTTGTAAGCCAGCCCAGTATGCAGCAGCTATTCTGTGTAAGACGTCCATGGTTGCATGTCATGTTTAAGATCCTACATTGTATAACCTTGGCCATATAGCTCAATTGGTAGAGCCGCTGGCATGTATCCAGAAGGTTCCAGGTTCAATCTCTGGTCTGGTTATTATCCAATTTTATCACCTTTTGTCCTGAAGACGTTCAAAATTTGAAGTGGAGCACAATCAACAAGGACTTGGGCCTCAATAATCTCAATGGTGAATGGCTAGATCAGGATGCAGGCTGGCAAAAAACACCTGTAACTGTTTTGGTTCCATTTCATAGCAGATCAGCGGACCCTGGAACTCATGACCATCATGTTACTGATTTATTCCATTATTCACTCATTCAGATTCTTCACAATAAACTTGCAAACCCTTGTGATGACCAGCTTTTTCATTATGAGCCATACAAACTGTTCTGGCATCCAAGTGATCAATTGCACGAAGCTCGAGTCCACGGCGAGGCTTATACTTTGGACGCATTTCTGAAAGCTCATCATGAACTTCAAGAATCCCCACCAGAGCCCGGGTGCAACCTTCAATGTGTGCTGGCTGGTTTCATGTTTTTGTCAGATTCCACCCAACTTACTTCCTTTGGCAATGCAAAACTTTGGCCGCTTTATGTTTATTTTGCCAATGAATCCAAGTATTGTCGCACCAAACCATCCTGTCACTTGTGCAACCATGCGGCCTATTCTCAATCTGTGAGTGCTGTCTCTATTGTAGCTCATTCACACTGTTTGACTTTTTTTTATTGATTTATAGCTCCCAGACAGCTTCAAAGATTTTGCAAAGACTCACACTAGCAATAGCAAGCTTACTAGCGCCTTCATGACACATTGTCAGCGCAAGTGTTTTTATGCACAATGGTGTATTCTACTTCATGATGAATTCCTACATGCGTATCAGCATGGTGTCATCATCAAGTGTTGTGATGGCATTGATTGTTGATTTTATCCCTGCATCCTAACCTAATCAGCAGATTACCCTGAAAAGTAGGTCCAACATGTTCTGTGCAACAATCCTGCTCATCTTATGTAGGATATTAATAGCGAGTATAAAAAACCTTGGAAACTGTCCCTGTCCTCGGTGTTTAACACCTATGACTTTGGTTCCCAATATTGGACAAGACGCCAGTATGCTGAATTGAGTTGTCAACATCTGCATTGACAACGCTGATCAGCAGAAGAAGGTTGCAGTTGCTCATGATTTAATCTACAAGAAGAAATATGCTGTGAACAGCAACAAAGTTAATGGATTCCTGATGGCCAAATCCTTAGTTCCAACTTTGGTGCATAATAGTGGTGTCTGAAGATGGGAAACACACTGACTGCTGGCACTCTTCCATATTACAGAATGCATTCTCCCACAGGCTGGGTCCATTGGGTTCCAATTTATATTCAATGTTCGTTGTTGATTTCATGCATGAGGTCGAGCTAGGGGTGTGGAAGTCCCTTTTTGTCTATCTTCTACGGATATTAGATACTGTCAATGGGGGGCTCTTAGATAGATTGGATCTAAGGTTAGTCTTTGTTTATTCTCTTAAGACTCAGTGTTAACAATTGTCAAAGATATCGCCAGATCCCAACTTACGGAAGTGATACTATTTGGCAATTCACAGCTAACACATCTGAAATGCAAAGAATGACAGCCCACCATCTTGAAGACTTGCTGCAGGTAAGCCCTTCACATTTCTTTTGACATTTTTGCAGCATTTTAATTCTTCCACTATGCAGCGTACCATTCCTGTATTCAATGGCTTAATTCCAGAACCACACAACACTCAAATATTGAGCTTGCTACTCTGCATGGCTCATTGGCATGGTTTAACTAAACTACACATGCATACGGACAATACTCTGAAAATATTAGATGCAGTAACTAAAAGTCTAGGTGATAAATTACAAAAATTTGCTGCAAATACTTGCTCTGCTTTCTGTGTTAGGGAACTCTGGGGTGAAGCCGATGCACAAAGGCGCCGTCAAATCCGGCAAGGCACTGACATTCAGTCGACATCATCAGGAGCTGCCCAAAAACACAAGACATCCAACCTATAAACCTATAAACTCCATGCGCTCGGGGATTGTCCTGCACAAACCAGGTTCTTCATCAGGAAAATGTGACTTAGATATAAATACAATAAATTGCAAAATATATGCTATAATAGCAAAAATATCTGTTATATCTATAAGTGTGATCCTTGAAAAGTCCCCTACTCTACATGCATGATTATCAATAAATATCATAAAAAGTGGTTTATAGCACAGTCGTTAAAACAAAAATGACCTTGCACTTTTTCACTATAATTCACTCTAAGTGCAATTATATCAATCCATACTCAATTATATCCAAAAAAAGCACTAATAAATCAAATTATATTGATTTTTAAAAATGCTGCAGGAATAATATTTATAAAAACAATTTTGACGCTTTTGCTGCTTCCTCTAAAGCATCAAAATCAAATATAAGCTCAGAAACATCAGATTGCCCCCTCCCCCCACTGTCATACAACCATTCCTACAAAAATACTTGAGGTTAAGAAAACATTTCAATATAAATATGTAGTAAGCTCTTACCAAATATATTCATCAACCCCACCAACCACAGCCACCAGGTATGTAGGAGAATGTTTCTAAAAGTTGTCCAGCAACCTCATATGATGATCCCACCTTGTAAAAGTATAATAAGTACAGATTTATAGTGATTGAGGTGATGTACCTAGCAGAAAATGCTGTCTCTGAGAATTCTATTGTGGCATTGTTGATAGCACCTAGCAAAGCATATTCAATCTGGTAAACAATATTGATTGTTAATTTTATTTAAAAAAAAGATATGAACACTTACAGAGCATGCTATTAGAGCCAAAGGTCTTTCAGAAGTAGCCTAGAAATTGTGAATAGTAATATCAAATAACGCCAACATAAATAAATTTAATAATATCACTGTTATAGTTTGAAGGTGGTGATGATGGAGAAGGAGTACTTTTTGCAGCTCTACCCCTGGCCATCAGATAACTGCATTATTTAGAATGTATAATCCTAGGTATTGGAGTCCTGAAAACCAAGCCAATGATACAAGTTCAGTATATGTGGCAAAGATGAAAGATACAAATGATACAAACAAATACAAATCTAAAATAATAGTTTCAGCAGGTGAAAGTGAAAAATTCTTGTGCACCAATATAGGGAGAATATGACAGTGAAAATAAATATACCAAATCCAATGCACAGAGGCCCATTTGCAGCCCAAATGGTTGAACCCATTTGAGTTTTTATTTTGGTTTAGTATAGTATTGAAATGACAATGTGAAAAGGTAAATAAAATTTGCACATTTTGACAATGTGTGCCACAGTATTGAGCCATAATAGAGGGCAGGAGTGCGCTGCAGCACAGTAGCATTTTCCCACAGTTGACAACACATTTTGCTCAACACTATAGGCATTATAGAGAGATCTGACTGCTTTTTGAGACATTTAAACTCCGATTGTAACACTTTCCCGCGTGTCAAGCCAGCCAATTTTTCTGAATTGGCTTTAAGAATGAATGCAAGCTGGCTAACTCAGCCAGAAACTTGGCATACAGAAAATGTACTAGATATATGTTCCACATTTTTACTTAACAATTGGACTAGCAAGTTTGCATACCAAACAATCTGGTAGTAATTAGTAGTGGATAAAATATCATTTTTATGACATGTATAGATCACTATAGGTCACTATAAATCAATATAAATCAATATAATGCACATTTTGCTATAGTTGCTATCATTGGTAAAAGTTCCAATTATATCCAACTATAGCAAAATCATGTTTTCCTGATGGCCTTTGGCACTACAGACTCCTATTCCACCGAGCCCGTAAGTTCACCTAACCATATCTTGCTTCATTTGTAATAACCAGTGCCCAGGGTGAATTAGAGCACTGGACAGGGAAGTCTAGATACAAAAGAACCAGCAAGAAAACCTGCACTGAACAGCTTACTCACATTGAGCGTCGGGAGGCCCATATATGTCTCATGCACCAGAAGCTCGGCATGTCTTCTGAGGATTGTGCCGTTGCTACTGATCAGGAGGCCAGCACTCTTGATAACCATCATCACATAGGAAGTCTCAAAACTCACCTTTGCACATCACATTCTTCTCCAAAATGTACTCCCGCAATCCAGCTTGCACGGTAAGGGGCAAATCAATACTGTACAATACCAGTATCAATCTGATTTGCTATAGGATTTTGTACCAAACCTCAAGGTTGACTTACATCACTGTATGCAATCAACTCTTCTCACTCCTAATGTTTCCGAGTGTCACCTTCATGATCCCTCACTGAACCAGCAACCTTCCATTCAAGTCATATTAAAAATGACAGAATGTATACTCGCAACATCTTTTGCATCAACTACACAACATACGACATCCACCGAGCACAAGATATTGTTAACCCATGCACAGATCATTGCAATATTATGTTACTAGCTCCTCTGGATGGATTCGACACCAATCTGCGACACCCCTCCCACCCATTCTATTATGCTCATGTTCTAGGCATTTACCACGCAAACATTGTATGTACTGGTCAAGAAGTCACAACTTATCACACGTGTAAGATGGAATTTCTATTCGTGAGGTGGTACAAATTGTGTGATCCTTTGGACAGAGAAATAGACTCAGGCTGGTACAAACTCAACATGCTACATTTTGTTCCCATGGCTGAAGATGATGCTTTCGGCTTCGTCAACCCAGCCAATGTTCTGCAGAGTGGCCACCTAGTGCCAGCATTTCACAAAGGGAAATTACATCCCAATGGCATTGGGATGTCCAAATTTGCTCAGGATGCACAAGATTGGAAAAAGTACTATGTCAATTGGTCCCAGCTATGTTTAACGCTAAAGAAACCTACCAATATGTTTCTTACAGGTTTGTAGATTGAGATATGATGATGCGGTATCATTGGGGCTTGGGGATCGGCTACACATATGCCTGCGGTGAAACATTTGAAGGCATTGACAGACTTGGGGTCTTTCTATAATGGGTTATTGCACAACCCTGGGTTCTGGATTGCTATTCTGGTGTGCCATTAAGCAACCTGTCGTCACTACATCAGGAAGATATGGTTTGGCTATAAGTGCTAACAAGTACACATTAATACATAATTTTTGATATTATAGCAAATATATTGGCCATATCAGTTCATATCAATTAGTACAATTAGTAGACAGTCAGTTGCTCTATAGCATACTATAGTATATCTATTTTGCATCTAGAATGGTTTCAAGCACAGTGCCAAAACCCAAAATGACTGTGCTTTAGTTTCTATAACTGCTTTATTTCACTCTGAACTGAATATAGAGTATATTATAGTCATTATAATGTACATTCTACTGAGATATATACACAGTACCAAGTAAGCTATAAGGTTATATGACTATTAAAACACAAAGCTTGAATATGCTACTGAAAAACCAGAAACAAAACTTACTACATACAATTATCCATACTAGTGCAATGTCATCCTTCCACAGTGAGCACCCACCTTTCAGAGCCTTACACAATATTATAGACAGCATTGAGCACTCTTAAATGATTCAAACCTATGATAATACACTGATATTAGTTTGGAAAATTTGTACAAGTGTTTAAAACTTATCTAAACTTCAAGTCACCATCCAGCCAATAACATTTTTCTTCTTGTGCTTTGAGGTCATGCAAGACAGTGAGTGGGATAGGCAGGGGAGGCGGCATCCATTCTTGAAGAGCCTTGCACACTGTCATGGACAGTGTAAAGCACAGATATTTCAAGCTCCGCTCCAACATGGCAGAACATATTGTACATATTGAAGCGGAGTTTTAATGACTTGGAGAGAGTGGTCAAAGAGACTTACCCTCCAGTGGGGCATAGATAAATTGGATGAACTGGATAGATAGATATATAGATGTGGATGAGCTGTTACTGTGTACTCAAATATAATACTTTGCATAAGGTAAAGCAACTGTAATTTGATTGAATTATATACATATTTATATCTGTTTTCACTACATCTGTGAGCATGTCACATCCAACAAACTTTCAGTTCAATATATCATTATAAACCACAATATTGCTCAACACATTCACCAAGGCACTTCCCACAAAACTTTTCTCTTCTCTACATACTTGTGTGTGGGCTTAAGATAATTTTGTCCCATTTTTATTTTTATTTTCCCCCCCAATAACTTTGTATCGAGGAGTGTTGAAATGTTAATACACTAACATTCTAGTTGCGATACTATCAGATCACACACCTGACTTCCTTTCTCTCCTTTATATATATAAGAATTCTTACGATTTCCCCCTTCAGTAGATCAGAATCTACTGAAGGGGTATGTTATTTCAGTCTTCTACTACGATAACAGTAACTTATTTATCTCTATTACAGTACTGATAGAACCTAGTTTCAACGCATCAATATGATGATATGTAATTCAGACTTGGTACCCTATGGTAACCAGAAATATACACTTCTTACAACAATCTACTTGCTTATCATGAATCTCGCTCGCATCATGAATTCTCGCAAACGTTAATCAATCTCAGCACGGTTGTTACCATTGGAAAATTCTGCGTATGAATGCTGCGTCCCTTTGTGCAGATGTTGAATGATCACGAGAACTGGAGCGGGCTGTGTTGAATCGATGAAGCTCTTCGGTGTCCGAGTTGGGCAATGGTGCCATCCGCGTCATTTGCACCTGTACCGACATGTTTTGGCATAAAGCATTATTTACAAGATGATGGTACTTACGTCTTCCGGCATAAGAAATTCATTAAAAATTAGAGTCCCTATCCGAGGCCTCTCAGGAAAATCATAGTCTCTGGAGGTATCACATTGCACTTGACATTGGGCTGTGCTTTGGATGAACTTTCCAAACATATTGAACTTGCCCCAATGTATTTGACCGTGGTCGGATGGATGATAATCAGGGTTACCTTCTTGTGCGCGAATGAGGTCGGACATATGAACCTCTCTATACGAACGCGGTTAGCCAAGCCTCACATTGTAATAATAACTTACAAGGCAGGAATGCAGGCACCCTTCGTGTTCCTTAAAGCCATCCTGTAAGCTTGGTGAGCCCCTCTGTGCTGTAGTAAGACATCCCACGATAGGAGGTTTTTGAAGTGTTCTGGGGCCTTAGTCCTGAAAACTTCCATGGTGTCATCTCCTTGAAAGGTGGAATTGTTGATACCAGCCACAAAAGCTCGCAGAGCCGAGTAGTTGTTGAGAGCGCGCAACTTATGAGCTATGTCCACAAATTTCTCGATCTGGCGGGCTCGATGCCTTGGTTTGTCGTGGCAAAGGATAAGCGACACTACCCTGAAAATGATGGTGAGAAGATCAAGTTATAATCAAGCGCCATCTAAGCGCACCAGTCAGCGAGATGGCTAGATATTGCATTGAATCGCGAAATTGTGTCAGAATCCGAGCTCTTTTTCCCTGTAACAAGTGTATAGTGAAGCCAATCTCTTGGCTTCAAAGGATAAGTAATGGTAAATATACAGCAGTCCTGGAGGCAATACCTCGATGCTCATGAAAGCCACTACTTCCACCCTTGTTATCTCCTGCGCAATATCTCCCGAATCCAGGTTCTGTATATCCGACGATATCTTCAGAAGCTCTTTGAGGAGCTGTTTCGTTGACATTTCCTGGCTATCTGGGTGATTGGTGGGGGATGGGATAGACGGCACGAGGGAACTAAGTGGTAAACTTAGTTTACGTTCCCTGACTGCGTAAAAAGGTAATATAGAGTCATCGTATAGAGGAACGAGTGAAGGAGAACTGGTGATGGGCGAACGAACATGACTGTTGAGGAATTCGTCTTCGTCACCGAATGGGCTATAGGGATCATCGTTTTCTTCCGCTAGGACCTCACATTTCTGTGCCCAGGCAGCATCCTTATCCACGAGACTAGAAGCTTGCTCTAGAAAAGGGAGGAAATCGGAGCCATAATGAAGTAAATAAGTTTTGGCGATGATCGACTTCACTAGTGCGTTGAGTGCACCCGAAGCGCCTGGCACTGCGAAGTCATGCGCATAGGTTTCCATCCAAGACTCAAGCAAGTGACAGATTCTAAAATACATGTGAGAGAGTTTATTTCTGCATATATTATAAGTTGCACCTCATTTGAGCATAACATGCCAACATAGGATCACCAGGTGAGGTATCAAGATGGCGCATACGCTTTTGCATCGCTAACAGTACACTACGAGGAGTTGCAAACCGCCGGTAGGTAAGCAAGAAATTCGAAATATATGTCGGATCTGTGATTAAAAAGATTAATACAATTTCTGCGAATAACAAGGATGATTTATAACTGTACCATCCCCGCTGACTGCCAGGAAAAGAAGTTTGTCGAGAAGCTCTTCCAGAGTGGCATACTGTACAGGACGACTAAATAAGATCTCAGCTAATGCATCAATTGATTGCAAGGGTGAGAATCACCTGAGCTTCTCTTTTTTATCGACCTGAGCTCCCAAACTTGGGGGGGGTGATTTATAGTTCACATGGTCATAGTCAGTCAGATTCCATTGATTAGACTGTTTCTTTTCTGGTGGATCGAGATGAATAGTCGATGTGTTACGGTTTAGATCAGCGGTCAGGGGTGTGCGCGTCGGAGATGTAGAAGAATGCAAGGAATACACTGGAATTTCAAGTGCTGTGACCTGAGATGGACAAATTTGTTTGTCAACTACTACGCAAATATATTATCACAGCATCTACCATTTTTGGATGATCTAAAAGGAGAGGAGATACTAAAGATTCAGGAGATGCTGGATTCCGCTGGTCGGGCTGTGAGGTCGGGAGTCGAAGGCCTATAACGATAAAGAGATGTGTAGAATGCGCTAAGATGAATATATTAACTTACTGCGTGTAAGTAAAATGGATCTTAATATCCAATTGAATGATTTCCCCATCTTTGTCTTCCCGTCATCTTGTACAATTGAAACTTCGACGAGACCTAAATCAAAACCTTGAAAAAGTTCTGAGGCAATTTGGGGGTCGACTGTGGTATTTAGATCGGATTTGCAGGCCAGTCCAACTGTGGGAAGTCTGAAAGGGTGGGACATCCCTGACGATTGATAGAGAAGTTGTAATGAGCCGTGTACTTTGATGCAGAGATATTTATGATATACATACGGAGAAATCGCGCCACAGGCTCGAAAGAAGAATTATCCGATGCGTCATAACAAACAAATATTCCGTCCACTTGGGGAACGGAAACCAATGTAGTGATATCCATTTCGTAGATGAGTAGATGAATATTTAATGAAGATTCACTTTGCCTAAGCCATTCCAACCGGCGGTCGTCTTGCAAAGTGGCAAATCAACGTCAAGCACGAAAGCAATTCCACAAGACTCACAGCGATATAGTATACCAAATGGTAAGCTACAAATTTCGGTCGTGGAGTATCCGTACGTGCTGGCATCTTGGTGGATTACGGTGGATTTACCACATCCGGGAGAGCCGATGACAGCAATGAGCAGCTCCAATCCATTACGGAACTTTTGCGGGTGATAAGTAAGTGCAACGCTCATGGGGAGAGTTAAAGCTCTACCGAAGGCCGTTTGCTTTCTCCACTAGCGATCAAACCCCAGCTACCGATGCGATTTCGTTTGCTCCCGCTACTTCCAAGCGAGTGATGGGCAAGTTGGGACATTTGTGCTAATATCTTGGAGCTAAGAGGATGACTTTCCTCGCTCAGAGGAGAAACCTCAGTTGGATAGAATAAGTTCGACGCAGGGTTCTGCAAAGTGACACGGGGAGGAAGTATGAGATCACCGAGAGGCAGTTGCCGATCAAAATCTTGACTTTGCGCCGAAGCCTGTCTGTCTCCTTCCATGTGAACAGGATACCATGCTTCAAGCTCTAGGGTGTCGGTCGTTAAGGTACTATTTTGACGGGAATATCTGGCGCTAGAGCTACGGCGAAGGCGAGTCGACGAATGGTGATCACGGGAAATAAAATCTTCCACTCCACAGGAAGATAAATTATTGCCCAAGTTAGTACTAAATTGAGGTTTACGTCGACTCCTGCCTTCTACCAAAACCGACCGCTCACAATCAATAAAAGAGTCGACGGAAGTTGATTTTCGTAGACCGCGATATGGAGGGAAAATAGACTGGCGGTCTAAGAGCTTTGAGTTTACGGGTGGAACTTCCATGGACAACAAGGGATTAGATTCTGATCTGGAGTTTTGAGACGTTAGAGAAACTGGAGGTTGTTGGACCAGAGAATCCACTGACACCAGAAGGGGTAGTGCGGTAGAGGCTCGAGACGACAACCTTGGAGTCTCAGCGGACTGTGGCGTGATTCGAGAAGTATGCGAGGAATAATCAAATTGGTCGTGGTGTGAGTCTGGATTGACTACAACCATATTAATGAGACGTTTGAATGAGATTCAAGTAGAGGCCAAGAAGGGAGAGGTCTGACTTCTAGTGATCGTGTGAGCAAATTCCTAGACAACTATAGGACCCCGGCTACTGTGTAACCGGCACCAGTACTCAATCCCAGTCGGAAGCGACAATTTTCCTACCGAATCCAACCTAATTGTGCCCATTTTTTCCGATTCTTAAGGGCCCGTACGGGATCGGTTTTTTTTTCTTTTTTTCCTTCTTTTTATTTTCGTCCCCGGCCAAAGCCTTGCCACTCTAGCAGAGACGCAATCATGTAGAGTTCTGTGACCCATCGATAAGATATTACTAGGACACTATGTTATCAGCTATCAGCTATACCGCCTATATGAACCCAGACACCAATCCTGCAACTCGCATGGAAGGAGATGATACTTGTGATGCAGAGGGGCAGGATGGTTTGAATACTGTAGCTAATCACCAGCTAATCACCAGCCAACAGTGTGTCGGAAAAATCCATTTTACATGATTCAGCCGAATGTGACCTGGTAAGGCTGCCAGAAACAGATTAGATACAAAACACTGTGAAAAGGTCTCACCAGTAACTTCTCCCACTAAAAGCTTTTGAACTTAAGCAGTGCACAAGGACAGAAACCAAAAGAAAAAATTGATTGCAGATGCTAACAATAAATTAAGTATTGTATATATGCACTACACTACACTACACTTGTAGTGCTATGAGTTGGGTGAGCTATAACTTGAGCATGAAGTTAAACCTACAACACAATGTTTAGTGTATATACTGTAAAAACTGATTGACAAATGGGACTTACCATTTACTCCATTGGAATCCTGGCCTGTCTAGGAGGAATAGACTATGTTCCAATTGGTGTGATAGTCTATCAGGTCGTTGGCTATGACTGTCTGCTAAATATAACTATAAGGCAACAAAAACTAGAACAAGGACCATGTAAAAACATATACCTTTGTACTAGTACTGAAATAGTACATTTAGATTGCCTTGAACCTCCTTGAGCTCTGTGTTGGCGGCGTTGAACAGAGGTCAGTTGTTTCAAAGAGGTGTTGCCCACTGAGTATATATGTTTGGGTGGCTCACAGTGGAGCATTTGACATCATGATTAGTAATTATGAGTGCTCACCACCCTAATTCACCCGCGATCCTACAATGACTACCATTCTACACCAAGAGTTGAAGAGAGTCCTTTGCCAGTTGCGAGAAACAGCTCAAGCAATCTTATTGAAATTATGCTACTTGAAAAATATGCCAGAACTTACAAGATGTACAGTGCAATAAACAGTATAAATATTAATCTGATTAGACCTGTTCATGTTCTCCTCAATATTCTGGTTAGGCCTGAAATGGCAGCCTGATACATCAGGAAAACATGACTTGGATATAAATGCAATAAATTGCATTTATATCTGTTATATCTATAAGTGCAATTCTTGCGCAGTCCCCTACTCTAAATGCATAAATATCAATAAATATCAGTTTAGAGTATTGCTATATTGTAAAAAGTGGTTTATAGCACAGTTGTTAAAACAAAAATGACCTTGTACTTTTTGACTATAATTTACTCTAATTCACTCTAAATGGATTATATCGATCCATACTCAATTATATCCAAAAAAAACAATATTAAAGCAAATTATATTGATTTCAAAAAATGCTGCAGCAGTAACATCTATAAAACAACGTCAGATTGCCCTAATGCTGTACAATTATTCCTACAACTATTCCTATAAAAATACTTGAAGTTACGAAAATGTTACAATATATATGTAGTGAGCTCTTACCAAACATATTCATCAAATTATCAAATATTCTGCCAAGTATATAGGAGAGCATTTCATATCATAATCCCATCTCATAAAAGTATAATAAGTAGAGATCTATGGTGATTAAGGTGATGTACCTGGCAGAAAATGCCGTCTCTGAGAATTCTATTATAGCATTATTGACAGCACCTAGTAAAACATATTCAAGCTGGTAGACACTTTTGATTGTTAGTTTATTTTATAAATAAACGAACAAATGAACACTTACCATGCATGCTACTAGAGCTAGAAAAATGATGCCACATCATCATCTTTCTTATATTAGGTCTTCCAGAAGTAGCCTAGGAATTGTAAATAGTAATGTATCAGTGTAGAATAAGTAAGAAAGACCTTTTTATTTTGGCATTGACATATTTGGGGCTGTCTAGGTTGGGTTGAAGGTTGAAGGAGGTGGTGATGGAGAAGTCGTCATTAGCAAAAAATGGCCTCTAGCAGAATAGTAATTCAGAATAAACAAACAATAACACACCATACTGGGGCTTACAAACTGTTTGTAGGGCATCGGTGTTGGGGTGGCAGCCATCTCCATCTGGTACTTGCAGTTGAGTCTGGTGAGAGAAAGATTTTGCAGTCTGGCTACTCTCTACTAGTAGCCAGGCTAGAATTGTTACAATAACACAATTTTCGGACCTTTCCTTTATTTTCACTCTCCGCTTTAACCTTGTACTTTAACCTTCACCCATGGTGCCACGTGGCACTTTCCCCTTTTGTCCAAACTCCTCTTTCTCGCGCCGCGTTGCCTTTCTTCTTATTTCAGACACAATTCTCTCACACAGTGGAGCTGGTCATGCGGGCTAGGCCCCATGACATCATCAGCCACTGTCTCTATCAACTGTATAGTACACATGTACAAACAACCCTGTAGTAGTATATATACCCCAATAGATCCAGGAGACTCCTCAGCGAGTCCTCCTGTTGTGTACCAACAAACTCTCTGCAGCCTAAGGGGTAACCACTCCCTCATCATCTTCTTTATAGTGTGTTTTTGTGTGCGCCAGAGTAACTAACTCTTGGTTGTTACAAGAATGATACCTTGGTAGAATAGCAAGACTTAAAATTTTGTGCAGCATTGTTGGCACTGTGTGACAGGGAGGGAGGCGCAACTGCGCTGCAGTGCAGTAGCACTTTCCCACAGTTGACAAAACACTATAGAGAGGTTTGACCGCTTTTTGGGTCATTTAAGCTCCGATTGAACGCTTTCCCACGCGTTGAGCCGGCCACTTTGCTCACATATGTCAGCACTTCAAATTTTGGCTTCAAGGATAAATTCACACTGGCTAACTTAGCATGTACATACAAGATAGCCAGCAAGATTTTACACTAGATATATTTTGTAGTGTTGATTGATATAACTAGCATCCTCATTAATTATGACTCTAGGTAATAAATAATTAAATTTGGTATAGTGTCACTAAATGCTTTAATCCACTCTGATATGCTTTAGGTGGAACTAATTACTATACGTGTCACAGCTACTAAATTTATTCCAATATGATTCACTATAAACTGATATAGATCATTTTAGATGCACTTTTTGCCACAATTGCTATATTTGCATAATTACCTATCTATATCCAACTATAGCAAAATCATGTTTTCCTAATGTAGGTGATCTGCTGTTCTGCTTTTATCACTTCTGCTGGTAGGCCTAATTACCTCATCTCTCATGATCAGAGTCTGGTCATGGACTCATCAGATTGTCAGCTGGCATAGGATTACTTCAGGTTGCCACAATGTCTGAAATGGATTTTTCTGACATGGATGTACTTGGCCCGTTTACAGATGTCAAAACTAGCTTCTATCATCATTGAATTGATCACACACACTACTTGGGCTATAGTGGAAGAGCAAGTGCAACAGCCCAAACCAAGACTGTACCACAACTCAATCCTGACAGGCTATAGATGGGTCAGGGAATTGATAGATGGGCATTCTGATCATATCAGGACAGAGCTTGGGGTGTGGCAGGAAGTTTGCTCAAAGTTGTTAGATTTACTGCAGGCCAATGGATACTCAGATTCAAAACATGTATTGACTGAAGAACAACTTGCCATTTTTCTGTACACATGTGTGACAGGATTGTCCATCCGCCACATTGCCAAACATCCCCAGCGCTCCAATGACACAGTTTCTAGATACTTCAAGGGAATGCTCAAAGCTTTCACTTGCCCTAATATCTACAATGTGTGTGTATGTCTACCAGATGCTAATGTCTCTACACTATTTGCCAACAGCAATAACCCAAAGCTTTGCCATTTCATGGGTGCCATTGGTACAATTGATGGCACCCATATTGTTTACAGTCCTTCTGCTGCAGAATGTGCGGCCTCTCACAATTGGATGGGTTCAGTCACCTAGAACTGCTTGATGTGCTGTGACTTTGACATGAAGTTCATATATGTGCTTAGCGGCTGGAAGGATCAGTTGCAGACACCAGCCTGTTCCATGATGCTCAGACCCATAACCTGCACATCCCTTATCATTGCTACTATCTCACTGATGCAGGTTTTCCTTCATGTAACCAATTGCTGGTCCCCTACAGAGGTGTCTGCTATCATTTGGCCAAATATAATTGGGAAATTGTGGGTAATGTACAGTGTCTATTTACTATGTTACAGTAGACTAAAAATTGTTTTTTAGACCTCAAAATCCTGAGGAATATTTTAATCTATGCCATGCATCTGCCCAAAATGTTGTGGAGCAAATATTTGGTGTTTTGAAGGGCCAATTTGGGATTCTGAGGGTCACTAGAGTACAACATGTCCATCCAAGCCAAGGTTCCACCAGCTGTCTGTATGCTGCACAACTTCATCAAGGCCCATAATCCCTCTGACATTGACCTCCTCAACCCTACTCCCGAGGTTAACAATGGTGAGCTTTTTCACACCCTACCGAAGGAGGCAAACCATACTACAGCCAATAATTGGCATGATCAGATTACCTGTGCTATGTGGATTAATTATTAGCAGGAGCTAGGTAGAAGGGGCCTGCTTTAGTTTACAATTTTTTGTATCCTTACAATATGATTTGTGTGTGATAATCCATTCAGATTCAGTGCACAAAAACAAAGCAATAGATTTGTTAAAGACACAGTGCACAATCAAAAAAACATTGGCAAGCAATACAGTAAGGTAACTCCATCCACATTGTCTATCTTACTCCAGCTTTGACTTTACATATGCCTTGCAAAGTTTGTTGGATTCAAGGAGACTGAGGTATGTGTCCATGGCTATGACATCCTGTTCAAACAGATGTAATAACTTGACAGAGCTGTCAACTCCCAGGTAGTTGTTATATTGCATCATGAATGTGTCAGGCAACAAATACGAAGCTATATAACAACAACGGATGTCTGGTCAAGTCCCTAAAGAGGGTGGTTAATGAGAGTACTGAGGTTGAAGAGTATCAGTATAAGCACAAATCCAAACTAATATTGAACTAAGGAACAATACACCGAGTATGTACTTCCTTATATAGTGAACAGCAACGGTCAGAACAAAAGAAGGAAGAGTTGAGAAAGTGGTCTGACCAACCAACTAACCAATAAGAAAAGAGAGAGAAAGTGGTCTGATCTATTGTACTTACTAATTGCATGAGAGAGAGTATTGGTAAGAGGTGTACGATAGGCTGTATCAGTAAGCCCATGAGAAGGTGCTGATTCATAGCCTGTCTTGCTTATCAATATTCCTCCAAAGTATTCCCAGACACAGTGTTGGATCATTGCTATGTTGTCTGGATATCTTTTTGAGGGTCTACAACCATCCTTCTTTATTGTAAATACAATAGGACATGAGTATGAATGGAAAATAAAAAGAAAAAGGATAAGAGTAATGGAATGCCGACCGTGATTTCTAGTCCAAGAGTGACAGGAGTGACAGGGAATAAATCGGATAACCACGACATGATGGGAATGCAATAAGAAAAATTGATTCCCACAGAATGCGATAGCGGCACAACAATGAGCACGGGCCAGCTGCATGGATAAGCTGCCTTGTAAGGCACCAGTTGCAGAAGGGGGAGTATATAAAAACCAAGAGTTAGTCACTCTGGCGCACACAGGAACACACTATAAAGGTAGTAAATGGGGAGTGGTTATCCCTTAGGCTGCAGAGAGTTTGTTGGTTAACAACAGGAGGACTCGCTGAGGAGTCTCCTGGATCTATTGGGGCATATATACTAATACAGAGTATTTGTACTTATGTACTGTACAGTTGATAAAGTTAGTGGCTGATGATGTCATGGGGCCTAGCCCGCATGACCAGCTCCACTGTGTGAGAGAATTGTATCTAAAATAAGAATAAGGCAACACGGCGCAAGAAAGAGGAGTTTTGAACACAAGGGGAAGTGCCGCGTGGCACTATGTGTGAAAGCTAAAGTGTTCAAGGTTAAAGCGGAGAATGAAAAAGAAGGAAAGGTCCGACAATTGTGTTATCGTAACAGAGTAAGTGAGGTAGTGGTGATGGGCGGCACAATGGTAGACATGGTGAAGTGTTTTTCCACCAAAGCTGTTTGAGAAGGGGCAATAACTGGGGAGGCAGGTGGAGCAAGGCTAATGTTGGGTTTGGAGTTGAAGTCCTTGAAGATGGGGATGATTTCCCCCAACTGGTCGTTCAACCCACTGAGAGCATTGGAAGCAGTGTTGCATGTGGCCTTGTTAGAGCCTCTGCTGGCATTGCTTGCACTCTTGGTGTGAGATATGATGGTAGCACCATTCTTGGCATCATTGTCTGAGAGTGCAGCATCCCGTGCTGAGCGCTTGCTGCTGATAGTTGCTACAGATGAGGTGGTGGGAGCACAGATAGACACTGGAGACTTGACACCACCAAGCTAATTTTTTATGCTACCAGATGATTTTGGGCTGGTGGTGCTAGCATTTTCTACAGAGACACTGGTGTTAGTCTGATTAGAGGGAATGTTGACGGAAGGTGGCACTTTGGGTGCTTTGGGGGGCATTAGGATTCTTTGAGACTTTGGGGACACAGAATACATTGGGACCCTTAGCTGGGACTCCACCCAACAAGGCATGCATGGCAGAAAAATGGGTCCAGCCCTTCTTCCAAAAGCTCTTTGCTACCAGATTGTTCTGTGTAGTGATTAGCTATCAGTTATGAAGCCAAAATGTATCATCATACTGTAATGAGTTCCTTCCAGACCATTTCTCCTTTGTCAAGTATATTAAAACCTAGCTCATCATCTCAAAGAATGTCTGGTAAGTTGGTGATAGTCTTCACTAAATTGTACTTTGTATGAAGCTGTAAACCTTGAGGTTAATATTCAGTGATTGATAGATTAGATAATGTACCCTGCCCCACTTCAAACTGCAGGAAGTGGCGCTTTTTGCTGTTCCCTTGGTAAGAAGAGGAACTAAATGTAACGCAACCTTGGGCCAGAACCCAGGCTTGAAATTCAAACCATCCTAGCCCTCTGCACTGTTGGTGGTGATAAACTGAATAAGGGCCAACATTTCTGCTTCAGTCCAAATGGCATTGTTGCTACTACTACCTTGGGCGCCTGTGCCATTGCCTTCTTCAATGTCCATTGCAACCCTGGTAGATATGTCCTGAGCAGGCTGGAGGTCTTGATTCATCCTGGTAAAACAGCACAGTTGTTTTGGTGAAGGGACTTGGGCTAGGTGTCAAGAATCAAATTTTCTCATCGCATTCCCATCATGTCATGGTTATCCAACTCGCTCCCCGTTACTCCTCTTGCCCTTGGACTAGAGATCACAGCCAGTACTTTATTACTTCTATCTTTCTTCTTCTTATTTTCCCTTCGTACTCATATTTTATTGTACTTACAACAAAGGAGAACTGTCATAGACCCTCGAGATCACAATCAAAGCTGCAGTTCAAGGATGAAAACAGTGTGGAAGATAATTAGAAATAATTTCAAAAAAATACTGTGGATAAGGGTTGAATATAAAGAAGATATGAGTTTGAAATGTTTCATAATAAATGCTTAGGATCAATGATAATGCAATTTAGAATGGATCCTTGGAAAATTTTATAAATATTATCTACAAAATATTCTCTTTATATTGCCTGCCTTGAGCATGAGCATGCCACAGAGGCGAAATAATAGAGAACATAATATATACTCAATGATAAGAAATAGATAGAGAAAGGAATGAAAATATAGAGGTAGCACAAAGGTGCAGAATCCCCAAAACTAACAGTAAATTGTATTAGCTAAAATAAAATGAATATTATATAGAATAAAAGTGACTCTTGTACTTGCCATTTCAGGAACCAGTGCCATGGCATCAGCACAATAGTGAGAATGAGGAAATCATTGCGGACTTGGACATGGAAGTAGGAGAGAGGGAGTAGAGACAGAGAGGAATGCTTTTGCATGACCAAGTTCCCAGAGCATGTGGTTTTTATTATTTAGGCTAATCCACAAGACTATTATAGACTATCAATCAAAAAACTGTCAATTATAAACTGTGGGAACTTCTGGGAAATGGATGTGATTTGGTCTGTGTGGATATAAATTGTACAAATGGTAGGAATCTATGGGAATTTTGTTGTTTTTGACTGGGACTCAGTCCCAGTGCAGATTTTGTTGGAATGAGCCAGGTCTGATGTAATTGTAGAATCTATTGTAATATAGTGTAATTCATCCTGTCTACAATGCCAAGGCAATGTACATCCTTGTTTCCGAAGTTTGCACCAAATGTAGTACCAGCCACAATGTTTGACAAGCTTTTTCCTGCCATTTGCACGCATAGTGCATGTTACCTGCTTGCCAAATTTATATCAATACATTGGTGTGTGGTGCGCTTATCTTTGTATCTAATTTTATCTTATTCAGCAACATTGATCATGGCGACATCCACTCCACCAAGCTCAATGTTTTGCTCAATCTCCTGAACATGCACCTTTCATGTAGACTTGATCAAGGCTACACATTATTTCCTGGCTGCTGGTAAGTACTTCTAATTCTAAGCAAAGTCTCAATTTGATCTCCAAGTTTGTGTGTTCCACTCCTCCCATCTCTTCTTTGGTTGTCACTGTGTGTGCCAGAGTACTCAAACTTTGGTTGTCACACTTATTGATATTTGAACTGCAAGAATGGAGTACAGAAGCTACAGCTTATATCCTATCAGAGGGAGTGGAGTTTGTAAGGAGTAACTCATAATGTAGATATGGAGTTCCATGCGGACAACTCTCTAGCAAGCAGGAATTATATGTGAGGGGAGTATACCATAAGGTCTAATTACAAAATCTATAAGGAATATGAGAATATGTGGAGGAAAACATATGGCAGACTAGAAGTCTGGGGCAGGAGAGTTGGAGTGGACATCCAGAGTACCATATGGAAGCAAGGTACAGAGCTATGCCAAACGGCAGAGCACGAGGGGCATACTTCTGAGAATCCCAAAGATTCAGGATTTCAGACTTGGGGGTTTCTGACTGTTCTGAGGTCCAAATACAATAGCCTGTGGCATGGATATGACAGAAAGAACCAACACAATCTCTACAACTGGAAATATTGTCAACAAATGTGGCACAATACATATTCTTGCTAGGTGAATGAAAAAAAAAAACCTTAAGAATGATTCAATAATTAGGCTGGTTTTGAACTTTTAGCTGTTAATTTGGACAGATTATATACTCTGTTGAAAGTTGTAGATTGATCTGGACATTTTTATACAAGAATAGAAGATATATTTAGCCCTTTCAATTGAAAAAATATTTGATTTCCAACATAATACACAAATCTGCCATGATTTGTGAATTTGGAAAGTTTATTAAAAATCACTGGAAAATTGAAACAAAATGATAATATAACATAACAGCCACTGCCCAATATGGTATAATTTAGGGAAAATGATATGGAGGGTCTGAAATGATTTACTGTGCACCTGCCCCTTGACATTGTTTGTTGGCCAGACACTACACCCAAGCAAGAGGCAGAAGTGTTTTGGCAAAACACAGCGTCCAATGTTATTTCACAATTGAAACCAAACACCTTACTAAAAGTATACTACATCAGCAAAAAGGTGTATATGGAAGGGCCAATATATAAATATACTTATTCCACCACAACAATAGATTATTAGCAAGTACTCTGGTAGTAGGGCCAGGAGGAAGTTCGAAAAAATTGACAATGTTATTATAAAAGTCAACTGAGTCAAAATCTCCATTGGTGCTGAGCCATGAATATGAATTGGAGAATGAGAAACAAAGCTACAAAAAAATGAGAACACAAATGTAATAATCCACAGGGGACTCAGAGAGTACAGAAAAGCAAATTGGACCAGCCAGGGATTGAACCCAGGACCTCCTGCCTATATATGGTGGTGCTCTCACCAACTGAGCTACTAGCCCTTGGATATCAACACTAGATTGCACAATGTTGTCTAACAAAGCCCAGACTTTGACCTTGACAATTCCAACAACAAATAGCAGAGACAACATAAAACAAACCTAAATTGCTGTATAAGTGATGACCCTAGGCTTGACAGTCTTCATCCAGAAAATTGAAGCAATATGGCATTGTATCAATTTATTGGTTGTCCCTTTCTTCCTTGCATTACCAGAGGCAGTAGGTATGTTATTGTCCATAGTACAGACAGAGGAATGAAAAGTGGATATTAATTTGAACACCTGAATTCTGAATCAGATTTTATGGTCACTACTAGGAATGACAAGGGAATAAACCTTTAAATAAAAGAGTTGATTTGAACAACCCATCTCCAACATCATCAGGGTTGGAGGCATGGTAAACATTATAGAGAAATACAGGCCAGGAGTTGACTGTAGTAAGAAAATTAGGGTCACATTTGCAAACTTTCTTTCTAACACTAAGGGACATATCAAATATCCAGTATGAATTGACTGGATTTATGCACACTTACATGACACAATTCCAATCATATTCAATTGGACACAAGAGCTTCCCTGTAATATTGTGATGTAGGCTTTGTTCACCTTTAGTATTAAAATCAACAGGCAGATCCATTGGATAAAACAATAACAACAGCCACTTGACAATGGCGTGTTTGAGATTTCCCACAATATGCATCTGCACCCTTTTGAAGCTACAGCCATGACTACTATCAAAAGCTTGGAAATAATGAAATCAATATAGCTACTTCTCTGCAAATACTGTCTAGTGCCTGTGGCTCAGTCTCCATAATCTTTTGACTAATCCAAGGTAGGGACTCGGCAAGTTCTTGAATCCTCTATCAAGATAGTACTCTCTGTAAAAAAAACTGTGGCTATTATTTGAATTAAGAGGAAGGATGATAAGATGACAAGAGTTTACTTTAAACTTTGATTAGCATTGATGGAAGCATCTCCAAGTGCACTTTAATGATCATATTTGTCAATCAAGTCAGAAATGCTGTTGAACATAGTGACAAAACCGGATAAACCCGGTCTCTGGCGAAGCAGCCATTGTTCTCCATGGAGCATAGCCACCACTCCATGGAGTAACCATTGTTCTCCTAGGAGTCATGATACTGTAGTGAGTAGCACCTCCGACTATAAGTAGTAGGGGGTTTAGTATAGGAATACCTCAGTCGTTTCTATAGCCTCTCGGGCAGCGGCTGAGTTTCACTTAGTTTTATTAGGTTATGAGCCCTGGTGCGCAAAAGCTATGCAGGAAATAATTCTTATTTGAAACGGCAACCTCGGAACCATGACCACAGCACGCGATACATCCGCATGTCCAGTTCTCACTGGACCCAACAATTTTCAGATATGAAAACTCCGGATCATCTCAAAGCTACGTCAGGAAAAATTTCTCCGGGTTGTTACTGGAGAGGAGCTTAAGCCCTCACCAGGAAAACCTACCTCCTCTGAGGATCCTGAAATCACCTGGATACTTAAGGATGAGAAGGCACGTGGAATCATCCAGGACCACATCTCTGATGCCCTCCTAATGAGGACTGGAGACCTCACCAGCTCCAAGGAGTTATTTGATAAACTTGTCTCACTCCATCA